TTCAGAGCCTGTACTTTTTCACTTTTACTTGAGTAAAAGTATCAGTACTACTTTTACCGGAGTACCAAAGTATCCATACTTCTACTTGAGGAAAGAACGTGTATACTTTAGCCACCTCTGATAAAAACAACAGTTTGTGGTTTTAAGTTGTGTGTCTCTTACTGTTGTGTGTGGCTCTGAGCAGTTACCAGGCAACCAGCAGAGACTCTACTGAAGTTACTGGTCCCAGCCAGAAACCATAAACCCTGTCAACTGGTTGTTTTTACACTTCAGCTTTTGTACAGATTTAACAAACAGATGTATTTTGTTACCTTTGAGCAGAACCAGCTAGCTGTTTCCCCCTGTTTACAGTCTTTATGCTAAGCTAGCTATCTGCTGGCTATAGCTTTATATTATTGTCTTGGTCTCCTTTTTCTCCTTTTAATGGCTTCACACTTGCTTTTGGTCCCCGTGTATACTTAATAATCCAGTGCAGGGGAAAGTATTGTGTTCATATTTTAGTTATCTGTTTGTATAGAGCTGGTCTGCCAGTCAGGAGGCTTGTTTGTCTTGCTTTAACCAGCAATGTCCATTCAGTGAGGACAAAGCCCCGAAGAAAGGCTCTTACCAAAGAGCAAATTTACTCTCATATGGCAAGAGTTTTTTCTTTTGTGGATGGTACAAAAACATGACATTAAATACATGTAGATGTCTTACTCCAGACCAGACAGGAGCCACTCAGCCTTTAACAAATGTATTAAAAAGTCATTTTTGTGTCTTTTAGTGCACTTTGAGACAGAGGGGCATCAAGCCATCTTCAGTATCAAGATTCGTCACGGGGTAACACCCAAACTGTATAACACCGGATCTAAAGGAGGTAGAACACAACACCTGCATGTCAATAGTGTCTGTAACCAAAGTCAAAGATAATACATTCACAATATTCCTTCTGGTTTTTTTTTTTTAATATCACAACAAAACGGTTGTTTGATCTTCCTTCTCCGCAGAGTACAATGTCAGTGCCCTCGTTACCATAGCTACGAAGACTTTCCTGCGTTACGATAAGCTTCAAGATCTTATCGACAGCGTGAGAAGATACTATCCTACTGTCACCATAGTAATCGCTGATGACAGTGAAAATCCCAAAACCATCTCCGGGCCTTACATCGAACATTACATCATGCCTTTTGGAAAGGTAGGGAAGACGCATACTGAAGTCCTTTAGTACTTTCCACATGTCTGCGGTCACTGTTGCTCTTTGGTATTGAAGCTCTGTGTCACATGTCGCAGGGTTGGTTTGCCGGACGAAACCTAGCCGTCTCTCAGGTGACCACAAAGTACGTGCTGTGGGTAGACGACGACTTCATCTTCACAGCCAACACCAAGCTGGAGAAACTCGTGGATGTTTTAGAGAGAACTACTCTAGATCTGGTGAGGAACAGAGGAATAAACTGTTTGTTTTCAGTGACTGTGGCACACTGTTTGCTGAGTGTTTGCTGTGTGTGTGTGTGTGTGTCCAGGTGGGTGGTGCAGTGCGAGAGGCCACAGGTTATACTGCCACCTACAGACAGACCATCTCCATTGAGCCAGGGGAGGAGGATGGTGACTGTTTACACATGAGGAGAGGATTTCATCACGTCATCCAAGGCTTCCCCAACTGTGTTGTGACTGACGGGGTGATCAACTTCTTCCTGGCTCGCACTGACAAAGTCCAGCAGGTCGGCTTTGACCCGCGCCTCACCAGGGTAGCTCACCTGGGTGAGTACAGTGTCACAGTAGTTTCATATCAAACATACAATAAAGACTATATACAATGTAATATATGAATTGTTTATAGCATCTTCTTGCATTTAGTTGCATCACAAGATACACATTTTTTTTAATGCCACACTTAGAGAGGACACCATTGTAAATACACATTTATCAGAGCTATAGCTGTGTCCTAGCTCCTCATTACTGTACTAATTATACAAGAATAAAACAGTGGATGTTGGTCAAACTGTCTGCAAGATTTCAGTAACAAGGAAATTGTAAGAACATTTTTTTGTGTTGTGTTTATTTTAATGTTTTCCTGCTTTCCATCAAAAGCCCATAAAACAAATTAAGCAACCGCATCTCTGATTATATACAATTTTGTCACTTATCCAGTTTGTTCCTACCACAAATTCGAAACCACACTAGGTAAATGTTTACTTAGCCCACACAAGTGTTGTTACAGGGCGGACTCAAGCGCAGAACACAGACACAGTTAGGAAGGTTTATTAAAGGTTAGTGGGGACGAGGTGGAGTGGAGAGGTAGGATGGGCGGTGAAGGCAGAGAGGCGAGGGCGGATCGCGTGGGTTGGCTGGCGTAGCACAAAGGGTTAGCAAGTAAGTAAATGACAGGCTAGGAATCAACACAATGAATGATTTTCTGAATACATTTGCGAGGCCTGAAGCACACTGCAAAAAAGGAATCCCATGAAAGTAAAAAAACAAAACTTGTTTCTGCAAAATAAGTCATATTTTTGGTCTGAAAAGGAAAACCTTGACAAGCATGTTTTGCGTTTAAAAAGTAATTTTAAGATTAATATCATTTGCACAACTTAGTGCTCAATTAGTAGAAATGAGTCCCAGTGTTGTAAATGAAGCAGCTGTTCTTATTTTTATTATGCTGTTTGAAGGAATTGTGTTTTATTATAAGATGTCTTTCCTAATTATTAATCTTACCTTAAGGTAGAGATTATTAAATTCAGCTCAATAAAGTAAACCAAAATACTTATTTTAAGAAAGTCTATCTTAACTGAGTTTCCATTGCTTGTAATAAACAACTTGCTTAAATCTTTGGCCTGTTTTCTAGTTTTAAGGCCCATTTCTGTCTTTCAAGCTAGATTTTTATGCTATTTCAGTTTGTTTTCTTTGCTCAAGACAAGAAAATCTGATTATATTTAAGAATATTTGTCTTGTTTCGAGAAGGACTGTTTGTGCAGTACATGTGACTATCCCGATAACTGAGACAATGATCTGTCAATGAGTCGAAGAAGAGCCAGGGTTGATTTACTGGAGATGTGGCGATTACTGGGAGGTGTGTTGGTTGGGCAGGGATCCAGGAGAGGAGAGTGAGCGCCACACAAACACCAAACCCACAGACACAGGGAAACAGACAGGGGAGCTCAGGAGACACAGGGAAAAAGCAAAACACAAGGGAACTAATGGGGCGCATCTGTGATTGAGACAACAAGAGTAAAAGAGATAAATCATTTTCAAAAGGTTTATCAATAGGACGGTCTGCAGTACACTAAACATACCTGAAAACTGATGGAAAACCTTTAGATAACAAGACAGACGACTTAAAAAACCCAACTGCATAATCATCAACCCAAACTTTAAATTAAGTGTTTCAGTAATTTACGTTTTAAAGATTGATATCTAATTTTAGTTGTTGAGATAGTATCACATACCAAGATAATGTTTGCTTAGAACTTATACTGTGAAATCTTCTAATCAGCAAATGCCAACATCTCAGAATCAGTGCTCCACTATAATTAAGTAAATTAAGTATTAAATCAAATTTAATTTAATTTCAATTTAGTTCCCTAATAACCAGTTTCCCACTTCTCCTTTCTTATCTTTAGGGTTGTTAAAATCTTATAATTTCATGCAGTTCATGTTTTTACGGCTGCACTGATCCATCAAAAGGAAATATTGCAAATGTTTTGTGCTTCTTTTATATTTTTATACTTTATTTTATTTTACTGTATATGAGAATTGTGGTATCTTTGGAAACTTCTCATAATAATATAAAACGAAAAAGGTCGAAAAAAAATTTGATTTAATAAGTTAAGAGTTTTTTTGAATGTATTTGGCTGAAACATTTTGTATTTGTGTTTACTTCGCAGAGTTTTTCATCGATGGTCTGGGATCTCTCCACGTAGGTTCTTGTGATGATGTCATTGTCAATCACGCAACCAAAATCAAACTCCCCTGGGTCACCCAATCAGAGAGCGACAAGACCTACGCCAAGTTTCGCTACCCGCCGGCCTCCTCCGACGCCACACACACGAAAAACGGCCTCCTCTTCTTCAAGAACCGGTTCCAGTGTTTGACTCATAATTAGTTCCTCTTCTCTTTATCCTGAGGGTTCCTCTGCTCTTCTTGAGTTGCCAAAGAAGTTCTCCCCGACCGTGTTACGTCAGATAAGATTTCAGACAAACACTTTAATGTTTGGCCTTCTGTTGAAAACCTTAACAAGAGGTTTCAGGCTTTACCGTAGAGACAATGCGCCATTAGAGCAGTTTTAGTATGTTTGTTCAGCCAGCGCAGAGCTCTGTGGTGAGCTGAAAAGTCCTTGTACATTATAAATAACCAGGCTCTCTTCTGGATCCGCTGTAGTAACAAACATATCATATTGTTTACACACACCCAGGTAAATCACAGCATAATTTTGATTAGTTTAAGTTTCTGAAAGGATTTTTTGTTTGTCAAATCTTATCTGGCTTTACTTCCTCAAGTTGTTCTAACACAGAGACCGAGCTTTGGGAAAACCCAATAGGTAGCATCGTTACAGTCTGAGTCACTCCATTGTCATTCTATGCTAATGTGACTTGAGGTGTGTGTCCTTCAATTTGCACTATCCAAAAAGACTGAGCTTGGAAAAGCAATAGTGACACCAGAGAGCCTGAGGACGAGGACTCACTGTTAGCGAAGACGAAGGGACACTTCGACGAAAGTGACAATTCCGTCAACACAGAACATAGGTATCCTTTTTACCAAGGCCACATGAAGAACGCATTCAGAACTTTCTCACCTGTGGTACCTACGCTCTGTGACTGACTGGTCGTGCCAAAAGTTTGGCTGCTGGCTTTGGGGTTGTTTTTGTCTGTTTGTTATGGTTTCGCCTCCTTTTACCCAGAATCCTGTGTGTCATTTGTGAGTGATTAATCCCATCTGAGGAGGAGAAAGTTTTGGTCCCCTCCATCTGGAGATACACTTGGTGTTACCTGATCCGGGAGCAGCCTTGTTTGTTTGTTTTGTCTCCCGCTCTCCATCACTCTCCGGGGTTTCTTCATCCAAAAGACGAGGTTTCTGTCCAATGCACGCTGATGATTAACGGTGAAAGTGACTGCATCTCTACATGCTGCCTAAAAGAAAAGTTGAATGAACCAAAGTGCATGTTTATTTTCCTCATTGTAATAGAAGAAGAGAAAAAAAACTAGCACATTGAGAGAGAGATAATGAGAGTTTGATGATAAATTAGCAGTCAGAGCGTGAGAGGAAAAGTGAGTGACACCTAGTGAGACAAAGTCAACGAGACTTGATGATACGGTGGAGCGCCAAGGCTTGAAAATCCTGTTTTTATACTCTCCTCTCCGGAGAGTTACTGATACTCATGCCTGAAGTGATGATGCTGTTCTTTTATACCATGGCCTTGAGGTGGCGCCCTTGTATCACCCTGTTGTTTTCTTAAATAAGTCGAATTAGTTTTTAACAGTGTTAGCAAAGAGGTGCCAGAGATTTTATCTACTGATTCTTTTTTTTTTTTTAATCTCGAGAGGAATATTTGAAAACTATTTTGTGTGAGGTGTCTGTTATGGATTTTTCTTTTTGTTCACCAAAATGCGATTGATGTTAGCTCTGTGGACAGGGGTCAGAATCAAACTTCATAAGTGACACTATTATAAAAGGCTTTTGTGTAGTTGTGCGTTCAAAAATTTGTCTCATGTTAGGATTTGTAATTGTCAACAGATCTATAGCTCAGCTGAAAACCTTTTTTTGTGATATTTATTGTGTTAACACTGAAATTTTACTTGCCTGCTTCACCCCAAAAAAATACTGGTGTCAGATGTCTGATCACGGCATTATGAGCATTTTTTTTTATTATTATTTATTTAAAATGTTGACATATTAAAATGTCTGTGGAAACACCTCTCTGTCATTTCCTAAAAAACTGAAAACTCAGTTCAGTTCACGTTATAGTCAAGTGCCCATCTTAAAAAATGAAATTAAAACAAAAACATATAGTTGTTGCACTTCATTAGTGCTCGTCTAAATGTTGTGACTTCTTCATCTTCATCACCCACAGTTCATATTCTACGTTTACTTTGTGATTTAAGTAGAAATTAGTCTGTTTTTGTCAAATGCATCATAAAGTCATCACAGTTGGGTTGTATCAGATTACATGTAAATTAGGATTATGTAGTAAGATTACAAAAATAAGTAACTGGATTAGTTAGATTATAGTTACATTGTCAAGGATTTCTTATTTTTCAAACTAGTTTTTCAAATTATGAAACTTTTTTCATGATAAAAATACTCTATTAACTAATGCCACACCAGAAAAAGAAAAAACATATCAGTATCATGTTATAACAGGAAAACTTTACTGTTACAAAATGATATTTTCACCCCATATTACGACATATATCATGTTATAACAAGATAATTAATATAGTTACATAAAAGGTTTTATAAGTTAATAAGTTACCATGTTATAATGTGAAAAGTCTTACGTGATAAAAAAAGTAAAGTTGTACCAATAAAATATTCATGTTTTTTTCTAGCATGGCACCAGTACACTTCTAGGAAAACATTTTTTTGTAAAATTTCTAAATTTCTTTTAGTATGAGGTAAAATATTTTCAATGTTTAATTTTGAAGGAATCTAAAAGTATTCAGTTTAGATTTAATTTTGTTGTAATCCAATGGATCAATTAAATGACATGTAATTTGTATTCAATGACTAACAACAAGTATCAATCAATACATTAGGAGATAGATGACTGAAAACCCCTGACCCCATGAGGGAGGTGAAAGGTCAAAAAAAGACCAGGGTCAAAGCAAGTTATTTTAGCTGTGAGGCAACAGCTGTGACCACTGAGCCACCATGATGCTCCCTGATACACTGTAAAATTACACAGTGTGATACACGTTTAATAGAGGAGATGATGTAGAAGATGTAGGAAAAGTTGTTAGTAACGGCAGCGTGCACTTAAATACATAGTGTGAGTCCCTAACCTCATTTACACTAAAGCACAGTGTAAATGAACTGAAGCACAGTGTAAATGAACAATGAGCCTTTGGGACGTGGTGTGTCATACAGTTAAACGTGCTGTTGGCACAAACAAGATACTCTGTGTGTTCCAGGCAACTGAAGTGCTGCAGGCCTTTTTAAAAAAACCTGTTTGTCGAGTTGATTTGTTTTCTTTTAGCTGCATCTCCATCATCCTGCCTGTTCAGCTACAAGTCACCTGTCATTTCATTAAATCTGTCTACAAATATAAATATCCCCAATATAAAATCTGACATTAATAATTTGAGGAATTGACGGTTTAATTCACTAATAGACATACGCATTAGTGTGTTTTCATTATCTCCACTAGAGAGCGCTGTCTACCAATGGGCTTTGAAACTGATCCAGTGCAAAGATCAGATTTTTGAAGTTTTAAATCGTCTTCAAAAAAAATAATTGTATGTTATAATAAGGTAAGATGGGTGCTAACGGTGGCCTCTGACCTCTGGGCCCCTCTTCCATCTTCTTACTGAAGCTTCATGGAACAGTGGTTTTAGGTTCATCTACGTGTTTAATTTTTGTACTGCAGTTAACATTTTTGTGGTTTCCTGCAGTGACTTGTGAAACTGCTACATGCTAAAAATGAACTAACTTTGTCACTGTAGAATTCACATCTTGCAAAGTTTCACGTGTCTATTTATATTTACAGTATGATGGGAACACTAAACGAATTCATGAACGGGCCTAATGGGCACAGGCCCAGGGACTAAGGGGTCTGGGGGGGGCCCCTTTGGCCAAAGCCTCTGTTTTCTTGATGAAAAGTCAATCAAATGAGAAACACAAGACAACCAAAAAGAGACACAAACAACCACAGAGACTCAAAATGTTGTATGACTACAAAAAGACAAATGACCACAACATGTAAAATTACTACAAAATTACACACATCAACCACAGACACACAAAGTTGATACAAAGAAACGACACAGCTGCTTTGTTTATAGTCATTTTGCATCTCTTTTCAGTCTGGATGTCTTGTACCTCTATATGAGAGTTGGGGGACCTTTTACATGTCTGGGGGGTTTATTGTCTCATACGTTCATGTGAGGAAGTGTTTTATGTTGCACAAGTAGCAGTGAGGGTTTTTTTTTTAGATAAATGATGATGACAAATATGAGAACAGCATTTCTCTTTAATTCTGTGTGTTTCAGGATACAACAAGTCAAAGTTTTATTGAAATGATTCCACATGAGATTATTAACATTCAATATGACAGTGACAGATGAGCACCACTGTTTTATCTTTGTTCCCTTTTTCCTCTTTCTGCTTGATTAGGATGCATGCTTTTGTGTGAGTTTGCAAATGTGTTTAGTTCAGATAACACTCTAACAATGGCGGGGTTAAAATAGCCCACCAAAAGGAAAACAGCTATTTGCTAATGTGCACGGACAAACACAACTCATATGGATTCAGATCCCACAGTGAAGCTTGAATCTACAATCACTCAAGTGATTTCAAGGATGCAGTTATTCGAGGACATGGACTATGACTGCGTAAAGGGATTTGAAAACCCATTCCTCAGGGGAAGTAAAGTGGAATTGGTCCCTTATGAAAATATTATGCATTACAAAAATATCCATCAAAGGAATTTTCAATGGAAAAAGTAAGAAATTTATACATATACAATATGAAGTACAGTTTCCGCGGTGCTTCAAAGCCATATCTTCACGCATCTCTGTTATCACCATCTGTGGATGTGTGTATATGCAGAGGACACACACACATACACACAAATGAACACAATCAAGAGATCCAGATTAGACCACAGTGGTTTTTGAAGGAAATTTAGGACAATACATGAAGACGGAAACACTGAGACCTCGATGATTTCTGTACTGGACTGAAACAAACAACGCTGACGGAGCAGTCTGACTCAGTCGAGGCACTCCTACTCCAGAAAGGTAAAATGAGTTCATTTGTCCTCGCAGGTCATCACTGCTCGTTCTCTGTGAGCTGATCCAGGTTGTTTGGTCGACGTGCTGAATAACTCCCACCCTCATTTAACGTGGTCGCCTGGACACTGGCAGTCACACTCTGCAAGGAAAAAAACAACAACAAATTAATTGTTTTTAGTGCTTGTGTTTAAATGTACAACTTTACATAGTAGAAACTAACATATTATTTATATTACCAGTGTTACAAAAAGATTAAATTTGTTTAGACAGTTACAGTTTTTTATAATGACACACACACACATGCACCTCATGAACATTCCTCATTGCTGAGACAACTGATTAGAAATTCCCAAATCATCATTGTGGCTTTTTGGGTGGCGCAAATGTAAATAAAATGTTCTATGTTACTTTGTGAATTAACAAAATTAATCTAAAATACAATAGTGAAAGTCATGAAAATTTTAAACCACAAAAGGACAAAGTAATGAGATAAAAATGAAAAAGGCTTTATGAAGTTAATCACATCACTTCAATATAAACATTAACAATCTTGAATATACACTGTAAAGGACCAGTGTGTAAGATTTAACACATATTAACACGGTTATTATGACATGTTTTGTTTACCCATCCTGCAGTTAAAGAGAAACATGGAGAATTTTTCTTATGGGCACCTGACAAAAGTCCAATAATAACTCTCTTTTAGGTCTGTTTTTGGTTTCTCCCAATGCCTGAGGGAAATATCTTTAGCTCCTAAATGCCTCACTATGTTCAACAACTAATGGCTAACTGTGTCTGACGGCTGTTTGGTGCTGATCAGGTGTACAGGTGACAGCTGTTTGATACAAGTTTTTTCACTGAAAACAGCTGAAAGTTGAAATTTGTCCGGTTAGAACAAACCAAAACAGTTAAAAAAAACACTGAAAGACACTAAAAGGCTCAACAGAGCTGATGAAAACTGTGTGAGATGATTATTCTCTGTGGGTTTGTCACAACAAGTCCTATCACATTACACCTAGCCATTTGATGAATTGTTAATATAAAACGTATAAAGAAGCAAAGCGACAAAAATGTCAAAGGCTGATGTGCACCACAAGAAAAACTATATCCTCGGGTTTATTCTCCAACCTGGATTTTACTTTTACAGATATAGGATTATGCAACTGTTACATAAAAATGTCATTTTGACCAGAAACAGGTGTTGTTAACTAAGAAAAGTTTGACAAAGGTTTCTCCCTGAGGGATAAGATTTTAGGTACAAGGGAAACCTGCTTGAACTCCTGCGCCTAAAACAGGATGGAAACACTGCTGATCCAAAAACACAAAGAGGGAGAACAAGAAGACGAGAGCGCCTTTGTGGAATCAGGCCAGATAAGGACGTCTAATAAGAGCACTGTGATTAAACCATTTCCTCCTCTACGTGGAAGTCTGAGAGAATAAGATAAAACAGCAGGTCAGTGGGGTTTCCATAAACTGCAGGACTGAATGACACATCAGACTAGGTCGACCAGGTTTGTAAAATCCACGCAGAAACAACAACAGGATATTTGACAAAGGCAACCAGAGAGTCATTTCCCCTCATCAGCCGTGATCATGACAACAAACGTCCTCTGGTTGCTGACATACAGATAACAGCTCCACCGATCTGATCTACCCAATTTAAAAAACAGAGAATCTATGTGCACTGTGCACAATAAATGCTTAACTGGGTAGTTATAAAGTGCATAATGATCCTGATAAACCTGATAAATCTCTTAGCTGCACTATTGAATTAGTTGTACACACAGAAGTGGGAAGTGACAACTTACATTTACTCAAGTGTTCTCTTTCCAGGTCCTGACAGTTAAAGTCAGTAAAATATAGGTTTTTAATTAGGTTTATCTTCAAAGGCTTTACTTTTCCTTACGTACTTGACACCTAATAGAGCCCTCTGAGGCAAAAATGTGATGTTGGGCTCTACTGTAAATAAAATTCTCTTGACTTAAAGCAACATTATGCAACTATTTTACCTTAAAAAAAAACAGCTTCAAAATCCTTTTGTTACTAAACTGACTTGTAATAGGTAGAATGGTGCCTATTTTATTCCCGCCTGTTTTCGAACTATGTAACTTTGGTTGTCGGCGAGAAGTGCATAACACCAACTATGTCACTGTATTTGGTGAAACTGGATCATATTTTATGGAGAAACAGTTTTTTATGGTTTTCCCTCGGATGTTCAATCCTAAATTCTTGGTGATTTATAGTTTCCTGATAGACCGAAAGCTTTACAGAGTAACATTAACCATTGATAACTGCAGCTGCAGTTGGCCGTGCTGCCGGGACTGGGAGCTTAGAGCACAGAGGGATTGTTGGCTTTGGCAGAGGAGCTTTGGACCGCTGGCAGGAGGTTTTCAGGCCCAGGGCAGGGTGGGGGGGTGGGGGTCTGAACGGAGGGAACGAGTTAGTGTTGTGCCAGAACCAGAGCTGGGCGAGCGGGCAATGTAACCAGGCTCAGCAGCCTCTACAGATATAATGGCAGAGGCAAAGAGACCAAACACCGAACACATGAAGTAGTTAAATTCCTCTGCAACATCACGTCAACCTTTCCTCCAAATTAATATTTTCACTTTAGTATATACTGCTAATACTGCTATAAATGAATTCATGACTTGTACTTTTACTTCTAATTAGAATGTTTTAAGAACAACTTGTTGCGACACCAGGCTCAAAAGCTGACCACACCCTGGAGTACACTGTTTCATCACTGCAGAAAGGTGAGAAATCACTGGAAGCTGTTGTCATTATGGAACTTGTTTGTGGTGCTGACAGCCCTAAAAAGTTGTATTCTAAAAACTGTAACTGCTGTGTGAATTAAGACTGATGTACCTGCATGCTGTGCTGGCTGCAGGGTGGCAGGCCATTGGACGTCCCACGGCCGTGTCTCACCTCTGTGCATAAACTGAGCTGCTGGTTGGAAGAAAATGGAGGGTGGGCTGCTTCAGGTGTCCCAGCACAAGGATTAGAAACCTTGAGAGAAAAAGAAAAATATAAGAAAGAGGATGTTGGAGAAGGAGAAATGTTATATGTACACACGTGTGTAAGGGAGCGTTGCTGTACACTCACCACCTTCGAGGCTGGGCAGTGCTGTGGCGGATGCAGAGAGGGCAGGGAGGTGTTGTAAGAGAGCAGGCAGTGCTGCTGACGTCGGTCCATGGATGCAGAAGAGTGAGGTCGCAGGCCAGATGCTGACGCAGTTGGAGACGTCATGTTCCGGCCCAGGCTGTTTGACTTGCTTTCCCTGCGTTGGTACTCTATTGGAGACTGAAGGGCTACAGTGGACAGGAAGAGATGTCACATCACTCAAGTGCACTACTCACATCGGTTTTACAGAGGAAACACTGCACTCTGGTACCATTGAGGAAGTTCCTCTGAGTCTCTAAGATCTGGACCACGTCGTCGAGCCAAGCTTGCTGTATTTCCGGAGATGATGCCTGCATGATGAAGCGCGTCACGCTGCCGTCAGTCCCACGGGAGGTCAGGACCAGACAGCATGGATCTTCGTCAGAGTGCTCCTCCACGCCCAAACAGCTGACCTGAAGCACACAGGAGACGTGTTAAACATGAGGAAAAAACACTTAAACCAAAGATGTTGTTAAGATGTCTTAAAACGCAGTGTTACTCGCACCTTTATGCTGTTTTTGAAAGTGTACCCTGGCAAAGAGAACCCTTTTTTCTTATCAATAGGCTCACTGAAAATGACCAGCTGCTCAAACAGGAAGACCCGCCTCTCCTTGGCTCTGGACACGAGGCCGCTTTCCTGCTCACTGACAGAGAAGGTGTCCTGCTGGAGCAGCTTCCCCTGAGCTGTGATTTTTCCCTGAAACAGTATGTAAACATTGTCAGAGGCCATACGTCACCCTCGATTTGTGTTGACATACAGAAAATAATTTATATCTCACCTCAAAACCTTGGAGCCTGCCCACATTCATCATATCATTACAGCGTTTTGGCACAAAACACATCACTTCCACCGCCCTCTGATGGAAGAAATTGAATGGAGGAGAATCAGTAAGTGAAAACCAAATTTTGTGATATACAGTACAGACTCAGAATATTACTTTATAAATTGAATTGGCAGTTTATCAGGTATATCTAGCTAAAATTAATGAAGTCTAACACAATAGCCCTGCAATTATTCCTCCCTGCATGAAGTATATTTATGTTCAGTTTTAGAGAGGTATTCAACGTTAGGATCATTTTGGAGGATAAAGAGAGAAGTTTGTGTTGTTTAGCCTACAGACATTAATATAAATGGGGCAGACAAAATATTATAAATACCAGTTTCTGATAAACTGGCAGTGTACAGTGTATGTATATGTACCTGCAGCTCCTCAACATCCCTCCCTGCTTTGCTGTAGTACTTCAGGAAGTCCTGGGGTTGACAGTCAGAAAGAGAGAAGTTTAAATCAGTCAAAGCACACTGCTTTGTTAAAGTACAACAGTTAAAAAGACATTATTATGATTTTAAAAAATGTTAAATTAATAATAACATCTAAAAGCACCATGCATGCAGATATACATAATCATGCCAAACAGCAAACCTTCAGCAGCAGCTGATACTTCATGATCCTCTGAACGGGTTTGATGAGCAGATCGTTGAGCTGCAGCCTGTGACCCAACTGCTGCCTGAGATCCTGTCAGGTGACAAAAAAGACAGAAAATGTTCTAAGTAAAAAGAAAAATGTCCTTGGAGAGCTCCAGTAAGACTGACTGTAGTGTAAAAGTTTACTCACCTCAAAAAAGGTCTCAATGTACTCGGAGACAATGTGCTCTGATTTGGGTTTGTTCTGACAGTAAACCACATACATGTGAAGACGACGCTCCTGGAATTGTTAGAATTTAAAAGAAAGAAAGAGAGAGAGAGCTCATGGGACAATTATTCCACATAATCTGTGTTTGAGGGGCGGCGTGAAGAAGAAAGAAGAAGAGAAAGAAGAGAAAGAATTTAGTTTCTGAGCTGCTACAACTGATTTGTTGTGTTCCCATTCCCCTTGGTGGGGCTTTTGTTAAGTCAGTGCAGGACCGTTGTCTCATTAAACAGTTCCAGTGGCTAGTAAAGAATGGTTTGATTTGCCGTGGCTTTGTTAGGCACGCTACACCACACCGACTGAAGTGGAAAAGCTGCACAAAATCAAAATATTTTTCTAGATTTTGTTCTGATGTAACAAGACTGGATACCAAGGTTATTATAGTTAATTAAAACTAAAACAAAAACTAAAACTAGGCGTGAAAAACATTTTAATTAACTGAAATAAAAATAAAAAATAACTGAAACAATACTGTGTACTTACAAACCTGTTGGTGTATATGAATATGTAGACTGGGACAACATGACCTTGAGTCAATGTGTTTGTATTGTAATATCTATTCTGAACTTCTTAAATCATGCCCCTGATAAATACTAAACTAATAGTAAAACTAAACCAAAATTAAACATTTTTAAACAATAAAAACTAGACTGAAACAAGCAGCCCACTCTGGAAACTAACTGAAACTAAACTGAATTGAAAACAAATGAAAAATACGTAACTATAAAACCTCTGCTGGATACCAATACCAATGTTACAATGCCAGTAAAAAGTATTCCTGACCCCTAGAGTTTTTTTAACTCTTTTACAACACTGAACTTCAAAAATTCAAAAGAATTTAGCAGTAATTTTGTGTTTGTGTGTATTTCCTTTGAATCAATTTGTAGAGATCTGTTTTCATTTTGACACTAAATAGTTCAAAGTTCTTTGTAAAACAACTAAATATAAAAAACTTGGTTTGGCCGGGGTGAAGACTTTTTATAGAGCTCTGAGATCTGTGATTCCAGCTCATTTTCACACACAGCGTGGTCCCTGTGGAGCAGCTTTAACAGTGATTGTCGACTTTGAGGGCTCTTTAGTCACACCAGAATGATTACAAGAGCATTAATTCTGCAGCTGCACCTGCAGACAACTGATCTGCGAGATGAAGACACATCTGGATGGCAGGGGGCCAAGGCTTTACACGCAGTCAGAGCCCTGATCTGTGACATGGCTGCAACCTTCAGCCAAACTGAAAACAGAGACAGAGAGATGGGGGAAAAAAACAACAACTTCTCGTCCACACTTGTTACTCATTGATCTGTAGACTCACATGTTTGATGAAGAGCTGGGCCAGGCTGTCTGGATCACCCACACATTTCTCCAGCTCTCCCAGGAAATAACTGTGACACGAAGCAGAGAAGGTCAGACAGGAACAGTCATCCAGCCAAACACACACACACACACACAGACACAGGCAGGAAAGCCACAGGGGGCATTATACAAGGAGCTCAGAAAAAAAAGGTGTACACTTTAAGAAACTGCTCAGATTCAAAGGAACGGAGCCGCTGAGAAATTCAGAAAAGACGTCTCTGACTCACTCTTTATGCCAGTCATAGATCTGGTGGATGTTTCCAAACACAATCCTGTCCTTCCCTTTCATGTCCTCTGGAACTCCCTGATTGGCCATGGTGGCCATGTAGCCCTATACACACACACACACACAC